TAAATAAATAAATAAATAAAATTAAAAGTTCAAGGGATTAAAAAGCTAATAATAAGCCAAGAAATTAGGTTTAGGTTGCACAAGAAATAAATGTTGCCTTCTAAGACATAAATAAAGTATATTAAAATGAGGTAAATACAAATTTTTCACATTACCAACAACTGGAAGCAAAATCCAGGAATGTGTCTGACAGAAAAATTACCAAATATATATTATTTAAATGTGCACCTAACACATACAAAATGATATATGTGTCTGTGTCACACATCAATTGAGGATAATCAGCTAAAGTATAATCAAACAGGAAAATGAAAATATTTCACCACATTGAGAGAAAACATCCCTGGAGTACATTAGTCAATTCTTATATTACATTATAAATTCAATTTATTGCCATTCTTACCCCAAGAGTACTTGGTATAGGACAGGACATGAGGAAACATAGTGGCCTAAAGAGAGAGAACATCTTAAAATATATTCTTCTAAATTCTAGAAGGAAAGTGGTAGAGATGAAATATATGATCAACTATCAAATGCATAAGTAATATATTAAAATATAACAAAAAAGAAGGGCAAAATACTTAATGAAGTGTATGAAGGAACTGAGAAATGGTTATCTACTTGTAAAATTTCATATTAAAATATTAAAGACACTGAGAAAGCCAAGAGTACTACAAGATAAAATTAAGCAATAAAATCAATTTGAAGTATGAAATAGTACAATTATTTTCAGATATGACAAGAATGACACAAAATACAGAATAAAACAATGGACAAAGGCATAACTGCAGATATTGGTGATTTCAAGGAAAACAAAAGTCAGTTGTTCATTCAAACAAGCCGCCTCATGCAATTTGATATCTACTTTCATAAATGTTGAAGACCTGCTTCAATTCTTAAAGTATGAAAACATTTTCTATGTATTTTTACATCCAAAATGGCTTTTATCCTTGAAAGAATATAAAAAATTCATATCTTCTCTCAACAAAATGATGTAGCACTTAGGGGCAAAGATGCAACCCAGCAGCCCTGCACTGGAGGCCAAGATGGAGAAGACCTCCATGGCCACCATAGCCTTCCCCTTGCTGCTGTGGTACACGGGCAGGAAGGTGACCCACACACTGCAGAACACCAGCATGCTGAACATCAGGAACTTGGCTTCATTGAAGGTGCCAGGCAGGTTCCTGGCCAGGAAAGCCACAGTGAAGCTCACCAGGGACATGGAGCCCAGGTATCCCAGGACACAGTAGAAGGCAGTGAGGGAGCCCTTGTTGCACACGATGATGATGTAGCCATGTTCAGAGTGTGGGTCTGTATCAATGTAGGGTGGATTTGTCCCCATTCAGACTGCACAGAGAGTGAGCTGGATCAGGGAGCACATGGGGATGATGGAATTTGGTGCCCCTGATATCAGCAACTGCCTCATCCTTCTGCCTGGAGCAGTGACCTTGAAGGCCAGCACCATTGTAATGGTTTTGGCCAAGACAGTGGAAACAGCCACAGTGAACACAACTCCAAATGTGGTCTGCTGCAGGATGCAGGTGGCTGTGTTGGGACGGCCAATGAAGAGCAAGGAGCAGAGGAAACAGCAGGTGAGGGAGATGAGCAGGGTGTAGCTGAGAGCCCTGTTGTTGGCCTTGACGATGGGAGTGTCTCTGTTCTTCACAAATAGCCCAAGAACTGCAGTTGTGAGGACAGTGAGACTCAGGGCAGTGCCAGCCAGAGCCTTCCCTAGGGAGTCTTCATAAGCCAGAAAAGTCACAGCTTTTTGCAGGCAATGGCTTTGCTGATTATTGGCATACTGATGATCTGGACACTTAACACAATGTTCCATATCTAACAAAAATTAAAACTGTTACTAGTATTCCTTTCTTTTCACAGGCCCATGCCTAGAAATTTATTGGAGTTGAACTAAATTGTCACTTTTTTTTCTTATTTTTATTTATTTGAGAGAGAGAGAGAGAGAGAGAGAGAGAGAGAGAGAGAGAGAG